AAAAAAATAATCCTCCCCAGGCAGACTTTTCATTACGTGCGAATTTCATTAAAAATGTAACCGTCTCCCTTCACGTATTTAAACACTTTTTGTATTATTGAACTCCGGGTCGGGCAGCCAGCGAGAGAGGGAGCTGCGTGGGGGCGTGGGTCCGTGTGTGTGTGTGTGTGTAAAGTCATCCAGATCTGATTTAGAAAAGATATCTCCCTGTGCGTGTGGGGGAAAGACAGAGACAAATCGTTGTAGCTGAGTGACACGCAAACTGGAATGTGGAAAAGAGAAAAAAAAAAGGGGGGGGGGAAGAAATACTGTATTGGGATTTAAATACGGGGCAAAGTTTTTAGCTCGGGGGGGGGGGTCGCTGGGAGAAAATACTTCGGCGGTGGGAAGTTTTGGTGCGTGTCAGGAGCAAGTTGGAGCCTCTCGTGTCTCCCAAGTTCCCCGCTGGAAGTTTGGGCTCTAAAGTGAACCTTATTCCTGCTTCCCTCGCTCGCTCGCTCTCTCTCTCTGGCGGTTAACAAATAAGAAAGGGGGGGAGGAGATTGATGTATTTATTTCTGTAAAAGAGTAAACTCACTATTGCAAGAGTTCATCCGCTGCATCCAGGGGTAAACCGGGGCGGAACACTTTTGCTCCTCGCTCTCTCCGAACACAGTTTTGCTCTGCGCGCAGTCCGACTTGCGCGGCTCGGGGGCGAAGGGCACCTCGTCCAGGCTGGGGGGCGCGCACGGAGGGTCCTTCTCCCTGAAAAAGCCGCCGGCCCCATAGTCACAGGCGGAGCCGCGGCCGTAGGCTCCGTTGCTCTGCTGGTAGTAAGGAGAGGAGGTGTAGCCCTTCTCCTGGACGCCCGTGGCTCCGTAGGTGCTGGGGTAGTGCCTCAAAGGATCCGCATAGCCCGAGGGATAGAGCGGGATCTGTCCCAGGAAGGGCTCCTGCCCCGCCGCCAGACTCACCGGGAAGGTCGAGTTGACAAAATAAGAACTCATTGGAAGGAGCCTCGCCGTCCTTGCCCGGCTTTATGATTTGTTGTGTTTTATAGTCCAAGTGGTTTAGCTATTAGTAGTATATCGGAGATTGGGTTTTAGCTGAAGGGAGATGGCGTGGTGCCAGCGAGGGACACAAGGAAATACAACCATCTGATCATGGGCTGACCAATAGCAGGCGCCTGAGGTTGCAAAATAGCACCCATGAGGAGCTGAGATTGCACCAGGGACCCTAAGAACAAACCATCCACCCCCTTTTCCCTCCCTTTTAAACAACAGAAATGCACCCCCTTAACCAAATATATAATATCTGCCGAAAGAAACATTCCCGGCGCGCTCGGAGCTTCATAAATAAATAAACGTGTGTTTTCCACCCCCCTCTCCCCTCCCTCCCTCCCTCCCTCCCCCGGAGCTCGGCGCGGGGGTGTGCGAGCGCCCGTCTGCGATGTGCGCGCCTATATATATATATATTTACACAGACAGAACGCGGACAAATACCCGCTGCAAGGGGGGGGATGTGGGGGGAGGTTAATTATTTGCATTCGGAAAACTTCAACCCCGCGTGTTCGCAGATCGTCCTAAAATGTCCGGGTGCTTCGCCGGAGTTAAATAAAACAGGAGATGGGGGGTAGGGGGGAAGGAAAACACGAAATAAAAAGTTTTTTGTGCGAACTTTGCGAGGAGGGGATCCCGCCGGGTCGATCGAGTTAGATTTGCTGTATGGGAAGAAATCGGTTTTGACAACTTATTTCGGTTCGTGCTTGTCTAATTACCATAGATTAGCACTCCCCGCTCAGGAAAGCTGCGCGCGATTGAACCCAACCTTCCCTTTGCATCCATCGCATCTTTCCCCTTTCTTGTTTCTGCCAAAGCTCCGGATTCGGAAGATAAATGGAAAATCGAAGTATTTCCTTTATCCTTTGCTAAATCCCGCTCTCCTCCGGTGTCCGGCACCGCATTGTGCCCTCTTGCGTTTTTTTGTTAATACCAAATCTATGCCCCGACCTTTCAGGGCTAAAAAAGAGCCTTGGGTTGGGGTCCAAAGCTGAGTTTATTGATTGTTACCGATCGAGATGTCGGGGGAGGTTTTTTATGGAGGGGAAAGCTGCGCCGTGACGGTGCCTCGGAGGTGCGCAGGGTTCGCATCCCCCCCTTCCGAGCCCGCCCGCCCCACAAAACACCTATTTTTGCAAAGTTCAAAGGCTGGAAAGGACAACAGCGAAAGTCTCGAGCGGTTCCCGGCCACCCACCCGAAAAGCTCCGCTTTGCTCTGGGTTTTGCCGGATTCGCTGGCCGGAGATGGGCTTTGCTCTACCTGCGCATCCCCCCCTTCGGCTTCTCGTTTGCCCAAGGTGGAGCTGGAGCTCTGCTCGCCGCCCGCTTTATGTTTTCGAGGGGGAAAATCAAAAGTCGTGGCGCGGGAAAACAAAACCAAACCGAAAAAATCCACCTAAATTGACCCCAGGACCGTCCCCCGCTCGCTGGCGTTTTCTCGAGGGTTTGTTTCCTGTCCGAATTTGTGACCGTCTGTCCGTCGGGTCTGACCCGCGGTGAAATGACGCGCCTTAGAACACACATTCCCCACTGCTCGGGTCTGTGACTGTGTGTGCTCCAAATCTAGAATTACACATCTTCCATGGGGGCTGTAGAGCTGCCAACGCGGCTCCCTCTGACCGAGCTTTAAGTATCTACGAAACCGGGATCTTGTTACGAGCTAATTTATTTTAAACATCGTGTTTACAGCAGCAAAGCCAAGATTGTTTCATGCCACGGCTGCAATGAACATTTCGGCTGAAACGTAATCCTTATAATTCAAGGAAATAACATGCAAAGGAAGTAGTTTTCCACCCTCCACCCCCCTCTCTGACTGATATCTTTTATATTTGTTCTTGCAGAGTTTCCCTTTGTGTATGGAACGGACCCAAACTTACGTAGATCTGCTTTATTGGTATGCGAGGAAAAAAAAAAAAAAAAGTGAGATTGAAAGGGAACCATGACTAGAGAAGAAG